GAACAGGAACCTGCTGTAAAACAGCAATTATGCTGAGTCAGACTTGATTTTTAATCATCTTTTCCTGTTAAATAAATAAATCAACTAAATATTTAAGTCGCAAGTTAAATATTTAGTTTATAAACAATGATATTTATAAATGTGTGAATCATATGGTGAAAAACTGACTTTGAAAAAATAAATCTGTTCTTTTTTCTCATAAAAGGCTAAATAAAACAAAAATATTGGTGGTAATTTTTGACTGTAACTTTACAAACATCACCCCATATCCCCCTGCAGTTTTTCTCTGTTAAAAGTCCAACTGTTGTTTTAATAAATCCTTCAGCCCACAGCGTCCACAGTTTAGTGTTCCAGGAGCTCAGTCAGGGATTCTCCTGAGGTTCAGACAACATCGAGGATTTATAGAGTCCTCCCTCATCCTCCTTTTAATAACTCCCCTGAATAATCCCGCCGCGCCTCCTGCTGTCTCCTGCAGCTCCCACGGAGACATCAGGCGACCGCAAGAGCTGTCTGGAGTGCTCGAAGGACAACGGCTGCATTCGCTGCCAGAAGGGCTTCGTCCTGTTCCTGCAGAGGAAGGGGATGTCCCACCACGGGACGTGTCTCCAGTTGTGCCCCGCTGGACACTTTGAACAGAAGGGCAGGGACGGGAACCACTGCATGAGTATGTACATACACCTGAGGATTTATGACATTATTTTTGGGTTTAAATCTTTACGTTGGGCAGCTTGGAGGAATAAAAACCTTCCATTAGTGGTTTGAGGCGTTTAAATTCAAATGTACAACATGTGTTCGGGCTCAAGGTTCGGTCCGCGGAGCCAGTTTAATGAACATCTTTAACATGGTTTCAATATTTAGCTATTTAATGAGCTTTTACTGGAGTTTCACCTTCAGTGGAACAAGATGGAACAGAGAAGATGGGTTTGACTCATCAGGAGGCTCAAAATGGGCCCGTTATGTGGAGTTTTGTTTTAAAAAAAAGTAAACCATCATTTCTGTCTGCACTCAGAGGACGGGTTAGTGACGATTCTCTGCTACTACCACACCTACATCAGCTCAAAATCTGTTAAATTATTATTATTGTTAGCCT